AGGTATTGTTTAGTTAATAATTTATGTTTTGTAAAGTTATGTTCATAAATAAGTATTGACTCAGGAAATGATTTGGTGTAGATTTGGGCTTATGAATTAATTCCTGAATTGGAAATGGCTCCCCTGAGATATTGTAAGCGGAAGGATGAAGCTGAATTAGTGCCTCGGATTTGCTGGTGGGAATCTACAGATAAAAACCCCGAGTTTAGAAAGCTGAACGCGTACATTTTTCAGAGCAAAGAGGTATTCACCAAATAATATCTTTATTTGATGAGTGATGTTGTTATGTGTATTGTACATAACATGTTAACTATGTTTTTGTGACAGCCTCTTTCGTTGCGCCTGCTGCGACCAAGTCTACGAGAGATGCAGCAAAATTACTGGAGTTGGGGATCAGATTTTCCTGAAGGTGATGCACCTAATATTGGTCCTCAATTAAGTAAGGACCTTGCTGAAGTAAACCATGTTGTGCAGCAGTTGAGGGATGAGATTGCATTATTGCATCACGAGAAAAGTGAGCAGTGGGAGAAATTTGTACATTTCAAGGGCTCTACCGCTCATGGAATGGAAGTCATGAGGTTAGAGTTGGTTGCATTGAGAAAAATTATAGACGATGGAGGTGGCAATGTGGTTCCGCCATCTTTTGTAAAGGTGACCCCAATGGAAAAAGATGATTCTATAGGTGGAAATGAGGGTCACGGTCATCAGCCTGAAAATGTTGTTGTAAATGATAAGGGAGAGCTGGAATACATACCCCCTGAGATAAACTGGGATGACCATGCATTGGTTTGTCGGACCCTAGTTACATTTCTTCAAAACCCTTGTCGAAAGAGGAAAATCTCAATTGAAGATGATGAAGCAGATGAAGATAAGAATGATGTTGATGATGGTGTAACTGTTGTCCAAAAGAAGAAGGTTCGAGGACGAGGTACGACTGTTCAGCCTGCCATGAAGAGGCCAAGGTCTGTGCTAAGAGAAACTCCATGGCAAGGGCAGGAGTTTCCCAATATTGAGGATGACACAGTTGGTTTTACTTTTGACCCCCTGAGGCCAATTCCTCATGATTCCCTTCTAAAGATGGCGAAATTCTTGTGGGAATGGGGCCAAGAAGAAGAGTAAGTTATCCCGGTTTTAGCCTTTAATGAATTTCAAAGATTGTATTATGACAACTTATTGACCTGTTGGTGAGTCCGATTGCCTTTTCTCCTATCGAACTTGGCGAATCTGATTTGATTGCAATATTTGTTGACAATTGCAGTTCGCATGTGAGATTATGTGGAGAAGAAGGTGTAGACGCTTCACATGACTTCTTTGTTCGCCTTCTGAGCATGAATGGATGGTTGGATGACACAGTAAGTATAGAGATCTCCATTACTCCACCATAATGGTTCATTTATTAGGTTAATATTGAAAACAACACTTTTGGTGTAGAACATTGACATGGGATTGTATCTGGTACGAGAGCGGCAGAAGAGGTATCCAAATTTAGTGGGTTCGGACTGGACGATAGTCGATACTCTGTTTCAGGTATAACTCTTTCATAATTAAGCATGATGACTTGGTTCAATTGGTATCTAAATTGATGCATAACTGATATGGTGCTATGTAGAAGTATGCTGCAATAGATTTGAAGCATATGCGGCTTTAACCCTCAGTGCAAATCAGAGGGGATCTGGTAATCTCAACAGAATCCTCTTCCAGTACCTAAACCATTCTTACCGACAAAATTAAAACCTGAACTACCCAAATAGAGCACTACCGAAATAGTTCAATAATTCCATCACCCACAATCACACCTATATACTGCAGCATCCCTGCAACAAGTCTATTGCAAGC